CATCACATGTTCCTTCATTAGCATAGCAGGTTAAGCCTGTTTGAGGCTTAATACACCTATTCTGATTATTTGCTTTTTAAATATATACAGGTAGTCCTTGACTTATGACCACAATTGGGACCGGAACTTCTGTCGCTAAGTGATGTGGTCGTTAAGTGAGTCTTGCCCAATTTTACAACCTTTTTTGCCACATCGCTAAGCAAATCATAGCAGTTGTTAAGTGAATCGGACGGTTGTTAAGCAAACCCAGCTTCCCCCATTGACTTTGCTTGTCAGAAGCCCCCTGGGAAAGTTGCCAATGGCAATCACATGACCCCAGGATGCTGCAACCGTTGTAAATACATGCCAAGCTCCCAAATTTTGATCATGTGACCGCAGGGACACTGCAATGGTTGTAAGTGCAAGGACTGGTCGTAAGTTACTTTTTTCAGCACTGTCGTAACTTTGAATGGTTAAACAAATGTCTTAAATTGAGGACTACCTGTACCAATTTTGCTGCAATTTGGGGGGATCCAGAACCTACCTCAAAAATTAGGGCAGTGATATGGAGTATATGGTTTCTCCACACATGCTGTTCTAGTTTGCTAAATGGAAAATATTGTAGTAGCCTTGCTATTCACAAAAGGAATTACTTTTTAGAACACAAATATACGTTTTTCTTTGGCATCTGGTTGTGAGAACTCCTGTCCCCTGGTTACAGCTTACAGATTGGATAACGACATCCTAGTCAGATCTTGATCTTTTCCGTTGATTCTGATCAAAATTTGTCTAACACCGTACATATTTTGCTATTTTATTTTGGTTAGTCGATGACTGTAATAAAAATGTCTATGGAGACGCCTCCAACATCTCCTTGGCTTGCCATAGAAAGCTTGCAGGGAGAGCAGATTTGCGGGATTTTCTGAAAGGGTAGAAGGTTGCTCTCAGCCCCTGCCCCCTTCAAGTTGGTGCTAAAAGGTAAAATCTTTCTTCGGAGCTCGGCTGCAGGCAACTGCGTGGATGGATCTCTCTGACGTTCTTGAGAACAGTACAGAAGAGAGTCGGCATCCGTTTTTGTTTCAGCCTCCTGCTTGAGAGTAATTTCTAATCTCTTTCCTGCCATCGTTTAGAATATATTTTTGGTCTCGGCAATTCTGTAGTCTATTGTGGCCGATTCCAGGGGAAAGGGGCGCTGGTACCTGCATTGTGCGAGACTTTTTGTCTAGAGTTCCTGTGTCCAGAGCAGTTTCCTTCTTTACGGGTGTGCATTGTGAGGGAGAAGGAGAAATTAATGGCTTTGCCAAAAACCACGGTTTTTCTGTTGTCTAGAATTTTATTCTTTATTTTGTTTATTATTATTTATTATTAAATTATACTATTTATATAATAAAATATTGTTTGTTGTTTATTATTTATTTATTATTAAATTTGTGTGTATTCTATTTAATTATTAAATTTGCCTGTATTATTTGAGAATCGCTGCCGTTAAGCTATCATTAGTCAATGATAGTTTTCTCCAACCTGCTGTGCTCCGAATGTGCTGGACTACAGCCCCACCCACTGCATTGGGAAAACTGGCCAAGCACATGGTGAAAGTTCAATAGTAGAACATATATGTAACAAGGTTTAATCCTAGTCGCAGGAGATAGACGCTGGTCCCCATCCTCATCATTTGGCTCTCGGTCCTCAACTTATAAGGTTGTATGTAGTACATTTTGCAGAGGGTTTCTAAAAGTAGCTGTAATAGATTTCTCAGAGCCTGGGAAAGAGGATGGCAACTTGCAAACTGCTACCAGTTTGGAATATCTGCACGTTCCATCTTTATTGGGAAAAGTGGTAGCCATCTCCCCACTACATCGGCATTTAGCAAGAGGATCAAGGAATTCCTGGCCTAACAAATGTAAAGATAATTGGGGTACTAAAGTACATGTATCAGTGTGGACTGAGGATTATGGGATTTACAATTCGGCACATCTGGAGAGGTCTGGATTAAGAAAGGCTATTTTGGTAGAAAAATGAAGGTCAGGTTAAGGACCTATAGGCAAAGTGCAGCATTTCCCAACCTGGAGACCTCCAGATGTGATGCATATCAACTCACAGAGCCCTCAGCCAACAGAGCTACTGGCTGAAGGATGGGAATGACAGTCCATCATTTGGGGAGCACCTAGCTGGAGAAAGTTGGCTTTGTACACGTCCGCAACCAGTGACAGGAACCATAAACACATAAGCAGAAATGTATCCTAATTGCGTCAAGCGGCCAGAAGGATTATAATATTCAGGCTGACTGACGATCTTAGAGAACACACTTGAGGATGCAGAAAGCAAATGACAAGGGGACAGTATTTGAGGACGTGCATAGATGTTTAATATCTGTGATATGTGTTGGGAAAGGGAAAGGAATCCCAGGTCAATCTGCCATTGTGGGGAGGGGTGAGAAGTAAGCCTGCTAGAGTCACAGCTGCAATCAATTCTGTCCCGCAAAGTGTTAAATGTTAAGCTGTTTCTCTGATCTTCTTTCACTGATCTCAGGCTGAACATTCCGGGTTTGTCCGTCTCCTGGTTAAGAAGTAAAAAATCAGAAGGAGCCCTTTTAGCTAGCCCCTTTTCCAACTAACCAACTTGATTATAAGGCATAACGTTTTGTGAGCTGCAGGTCCCTTCATTAGATGCACGGAGGGGCTAAACTGATGTAGGATTTAAATTGCAAAGAGGCAAAAGGGAAGGGAGAAGAAGACAGGTTGGTTAGGCAGATACAGGATACCTGCGAGGCAGATTACAAGCGCCCGATCAATAAACAATTGTAGTGTGTCAAAAACCCGTTGTGTTGGTTGAGACTTTTAGAGATTGCCTGAAACCTTTGGCTGTATGGAAGTCCAACCATCTTGTGCTCAATGGCGCTGTTGAAGTCTTGTTTGTCCAAACTCCTCACTTTGAGGTCTTCAACAGAGCAGCTTTGGGAGGTTGGTGCTCCTTTTAGATCCTCTAGATCATGTCATGCATTTTATTTCTTGACATCTTTTGGCTTTTAAGTGATCAGGGGCTGCACCCAAAAAGTCAAGAAAAGGGGCATGGGCAGGTCACTGTTCAACTTGATTTAATTTACACCAAAGCCTATTTTAGATTAAATTGTTTCAGCACATTTAATATCACTCCCCATGTAGTTAATATTTTCCCCTTCTGTCCCATTAAAAAGTATAGTTTGAGGGCAACTTTTAGAGCAGCTGTTGGGGCTGCAACTAAGATTTCAGGTGCATTTGCAGCCCTGGGTGTTTCTGCTTTAGAGAAAGAAAGTCACTGTGTGGCTGTCCATGCTGTCTACTCCAAAGTAAATTCCACTGATTTAAATGGGACTTTTTCACAGGGGACTAACATAGCATACTGCGCTCAAACAAATCAGTGGCATTATGGCTTAAGAGGATGGTCTGATTCCCACAGTGTGCTAAGGTATTGGCTGGCTTCGCACCCCACAATGATCCAACCCCCTTCTAATCTTCTCTAGTGTGTTGTGTGAACCCAGTTATGCTATGCCATAATATCAAAGGAGTCTTTACATTGGGGTGGTCAGCCTTCTTTTTTTCCCTGGCAAGGGTCGCATTGCTTAAAGGGTGAGGTGTTCGAGGCTGCAGGCTGAGAGCCAACAGGTAAGGCAGAACCAAAAGCAGGTCTTGTTAGCAACCACTTTTTCTTTCCTTTTTTCATTCACTTTCATTCACTTTTTTTCTCTCTCCCCCAAGCAGTAGGTCCTGAAGGGAAGGTCCAGATAGCTTTTCCCAGGAATCTGACCTGATCTGTTGCAGAAAGGTTTTGAAATTAGTCCAAAGGCCGCTTCACGTTAAGCCAAGGGTCATATGTGCCTACCCCTGCTTAACCTAGTAGGATATGATAGGTGTAACTGGGGAGAGGACAAAGAATGAAAATGGATGCCACCAACTGAATCAGAGAAGTTTTCCATTTTTCCACATTGTTCATGTTAAAGTGCACCCATTTAACCATTCATAAGAGTAAGGAATCAGAAAATAAAACAATGTTAGAGAGCTGTAACTGAGATAGAGAATGGGTAGCAGCAATGCCAAGGGGTCTGCAGTCTTTAGGTGGCATTGCTTGGCAAGAGTTATGGTTGCCAGGTTCCTGCCCTGTCTTCTGTAGGAAGGACAGATGGACCTTGACATCCACAGGCATCCCCAGCTACTGAGATGATCACTGGCCATCTCTGCAACGTTGTTTGTGGGAGGAAGGCTGGTTGGTTGTCCCTCTTGAAACCACAGTAAGGTGTTCCTCCTCAGCCTCACTGACTGTTCTCTCCAGCAGGACTGCGCCCACTGTGTATAATGCAGGAAGGCATCAGATCAATCTTTCTGAGTTTGTTAAAGCGTTTTGTCGAAATGAGTCTTCTCAGCTGCTATACAATGGATGGCCTGCCACGTGGCAGTTACTGACAAATCGTTCAGACTGACAAAGTGAAAAGCTGGCAGTTGGACCCAGACAAGTGTGTTTCTTCCTCAGGATGCAGTGGCACTTATTTTCACAAGAAAAGGAAAGACTCGCTCTTTCCGTACTTGCTTTCTTTGCTTGATTTTTGTTCTAGAGCTTGGTGGATCTCTTCATGTCTTCCTCTAGATCTTAAAGCCCTGGAAATGGGATCAACGTTGACAGCAGCATCTGTTTCTAAGAAAAAAACATTCTTTTATGAGCAAACCAAGTTACACATAATGCATTTTATATAGTAACCAAGTGACTTTATATCAGTGAAAGAGTAGTAAAGGAACCAATGTTGCATGCTTCCCAAAAGTTTCCATTTTTTTCCTGCAAAAAGGAGGAACCCTCCTTTCCCCCCTTCCTTTAAAACTTTCTGGAAATTTTCCATCTCTAGCCATCACTATAAGTGAAGGGGTAGTTTATGGGGGAAACAACTTGGGTTGGGCTATTCCTGCCTAACGAGAATGCCTTTGCAGCTGTTCCATTCTTCCAAAACGTCATCCCAAGGGGTCTCAATAATAATAAAAGTTCTTTTAATTCTGCAGAGCTCCCTGAAAACTGGACTGACACCCGAGAGACCTTACTGGAGGGAATGCTCTTCAACCTGAAGTACCTGGGCATGACGTTGGTGGAACAGCCCAAAGGAGAAGAATTATCTGCTGCTGCTGTCAAAAGAATTGTAGCAACAGTGAGTAACCAAGATCCAGTTTCTAAAGCAATCCTTCCACTCACCCCATCTCTAAATATCTTCTATTGGCCCTAAGCAGTCCAGGCTGGTGACCCATTGTTGCCAACAGGACAGGAAGAATAACATATCCCATGGTTCTTCCATAAGGTCTCCATATTTAACACTGGCTGGATGTGAGAGGTTGCCGTGAAAACATGGGTGGCTAGGAGGTTTTCCGAGTCTGCTGAAGATCTATAATTTATAGCCGATAACATTTTTATTACTGCCTTTAAAACGTTTTTTTCTCCCTTCCATTCTTGTTTAATTGCCCTTTATGGATTTCATAAAACTTTTTACAAAGCTGCCCACAACAGGATTATCCCGTCCATACAGGAAGATTTTTTTGTTTTTCGTTAAGATTGTATTTTGTACTTTGGATTTCTAATTTCTTCTGATAAACCTGAGACACACAATAATGCATATTTGGTCCATAAATGCACAAGAAAGCTTGCTCTGTGTAGGCAGGTGTGCCCATATTTGTGTCTGTAAAGTGTTTATTGTGTACGTACAACACAAGCCTTGAAATATCCCCATTTAGCCAATTCAGTTGCAATAGACAAAACGTTTGTCTGGATATCACTCCCAATAGCGGACAAGTTCACTGCATCTTTCAGAGTTAACTGACATTTGATCGTAATAGGCAGTCCCTTCTTCCAAATGAAGATTGATGTTTCACTGTAGTACAAATTGCTATGCAAGGCACACTGTATTCACTTTGAGAAGAAAAGCAGAAAAGGAACAATTCAAAAAAAATGTTCGGAGAGATTTTTCATTTGTTCTTTGTTTCAGAAGGTGAACTTTCGTCAATTTATCAAAGGACATTTTAATACGGATTTGGAAATCCATCACAATCCATTCTGAATTTAAATAAGTTTCTTCCTACCAAAACAATTCTTTTTTGCCCTACTGTAATATAAAAAAAAAAAATGGCCACATTTGCTAGATGTTAAGGGCACTTTCAGTATTTTTCTTTTACTGTCTAAATAAAATCAGGTAGGAATGAATCAACTGTTAGCTTTGCTGATTAATTGTTTGGGACCTTTTAATTCACCAGAGTTTCAGTTGTAGATTAAACCAATTAATGCTTGCAGTCCTGATTTTAACTCATATTATCTATTTCCTTTGCTGATTTGGGTTTTTTTTTTTAACGACTTACTGAACTTTTGCATTAGAGAAAGATGCATTGTGATTAGTATAGCTTTGCTCCTTCTGCAACATCCTTTTTTGCATACTTACCATCAAGAGCAGGCTTGCAAGAGCAGGCTTCCACAATGTACAGCCCGCGGGCTACATGTGGCCTGCCAAGCAGCCTTGTGTGACCCACTGGTGCTTTTTAAAAAATCACTAAATTCGCCACCTCCATGAAAGACGTGCCGCCGAGCACCTCCAGTCCTTAATGTCTGTAAGCCTTGCGAGGTAGTGAAGATAAGAAGCACACCCAGGAGTACTAGCTCTGTCGTTATTGTAAGGTTACATTAACAGAATCTTGCAAGTCTGAAAGGACATCTCTCCCCCTTTGCCTTTACAGTTCAAGAAACTAAAGAGGGTCCCTTCTGAGATGTTTGCCACACCCCATTCCTTCTGTGGGCTCAGCTGCCTCTTATCTGACCATTGCCTAGTCTGCAGCTCTTCCTCCTGTCTCCCAGGGTCATTCCCACATACCATTACACCACCACGGCCAGCTCCAGTTAGCCACCGAAGAGCTGATCAGCACACCAGGTTTTTCTTTGCAGCCCACAAATATGTTTAATTTATCAATGGGGCCCTTTCCCCTCTACAAGTTGTGCAGACCCACTGTAGAAGGATACAACAAAGCTCCTCTTGAAGGAGTCCAAATGAAGCACAGAGAAAACCAACCATAAGACTTATTAAGGAATAGGGAAAACTGAATGGCCATGGAATGCTGATTGGCTGTCTTCATAGAACTCACTTAACCTGGTTACTGAATTAACATACTTTCCTGGGGTTGCACCATACAGTGTGATGTAATTGAACAGGCTGGATTGCATAACTCACTAAGCCACAAACAGACCTAACTAGGTTAAAAATTAGTCAAGCTTAGCATGTTCTACAGGGGTATCTGTGGGTTTTTGCTTGAGCTATTAAGGATGCTCTGTGAACGGGACCAGTGAGAGTTGAAAGGAGGTACAAAGAAATGGGAGGTTAATGTCAGAATAACCCCAGCCCTTCCATGCTGCAACGTTTTGTTAAGTGTTCCACTTGTTAACACTTAATTGCTGTGCACTTGAACGTCAAGTTCAAGAACACTAGGTGGAAACATGCTTAAGTAGCACCGAAAGCCAACCAAAAATTCACTTCATAAAATAGAAGGTTGTTCATAAAACTGTTGCAATTTTAGAAGGTCAGGCCTTAGTAAAACAGTGATAGATTATAAAGGTTTTTAAGCCCTTGCTTGAATAAAAGAAGGTTCGCCTAACCTTGTTCTCCATCAAGTAAAGATGAAGGGTAAAAGCTTGGCCCTATCTAGAGTCACTCAGCACTCAGGGGAATTTATATGGGGGAAAGATTTTGTCCATGAATTGATCTAATAAAAAAGCAGGTCTTTTTCTCTCTCTCTCTTTGATAGTCCTCTACTCTGATGTCATTTTATTTGCATCCTTCATATGCTTTACAGGCTGTTTTGCCTTCATGAAAATCACGTTATTAGGAAAGCTGGAAATCTATATTACTTTAACCTCTGGAACTTTCAGCATTCCTAAAAGAGCTCTAGACCACTTGAAAATATAACTGGCCATGTGTTACCCACTTACATCAAATTAGGTTCTGTGCCTCCTAAAGCTTCATCTGCAATGGATGCAGACATCTGTATGCCAGTTGCTGAAGGGCAAGTAGGACTTCGGTTAAAGGTGCAGGTTGGTTGCTAAAGTTTTGCTATATTACAAAGATCCTTCCTAGTTTTTTTAAAAATTATGAGTTGTCTTGTGGATTCAAGCTGGGTTGACGAGCTGGATTAAAAAACCCTTATCAGAAGAATCCAGTGATATTCCCCCGTTGATGTAATGGTCTATGGGAATTACCTTGGGAGACAGGAGGAAGAGTGGCAGACTAGGCAACCATGATGCAAAAGGAATCAGCCCACAGAAGGAAAAGGGGCATGGGAAGTGTTTCAGAAGGGACCGTCCCTAGTTTTCCAGAGAATAAAAGGAAAGTAGGGGAGAAATACTTTCAGACTTGCAAGATTTTGTTAATGGAACCTTACAATAACAATAGAGCTAGTAGTCCTGGTTGTGCTTCTTATCTGGACTACCTTGAAGGGCTAATACCTCCTGGGAATACAACATGACTAGCAACCAACATAATATGGAAGGAGGTAAAAATTATTAAGGAAGCAAAAGTCAAGAATAGGTATGAGCATATAAACATGAGCAGCAATTTTATCTGCTGTGTCTGCCTCTCCAGCTTGGGCACTTGAGAATAATAACTTTTTCAGGTTGAGCCAACAGAAATCACTTTTGTACCAAATAAGCACCCTTGGGGAGGAACAGCTGATGATTTGGGGTGGGTGGTAGAAAGAGACTATGAAAGAGTTGTATGTGTTATCTCCTCTACATCCAGGAGAAGAAATTTTCCACTTGATTTTTATTCAGTCACATTTGATGGGTTCTGCTGGCCGTTCCCAAATGGGGGGGGGGTATGTAGGACTACAGCTCCTATAATCCATGCTCCAGATTGGGGAAGGCGTGTTCTGAAATATCTTAATTGCTTTTAGATGAATTCTTGTTTGGTTGAATTGCTTATCACTTATACACCTTCTTCTTAAGTTATTATTCCAGAGGAGTTGCAGGATGGGGGCCAGACAAGAGAGGAAGGCATAAAATCACCCATGGAACATCAGCTCACTGGTACTTGCTTTGGGCAATGCGTTTGTACTTGCTTGTCACATGCGTGGCAAAAGCGTGCCAGTTGGACAGTAAGATTCTGAGTTGATTTATCTTTGTGGCAACATTGGAATGAGTTCTTTTCTCTATTGCCAGGCAAAAGCAAGTGGAAAAAAACTCCGAAAAGTAACTCTGAAAGTGTCGCCCAGAGGGATCGTTCTCAGCGACAGCATAACAAATGAGTCAATTGAAAACGTGTCAATATACAGGTACGTTTCATGGTAGCTTTTAAATCCTCAAAGCAGATGCTTAAGCCCTTTCTTCCCATTAAGGGTGGTTCAAGGGTTAACGTTTGAAATTGTAATTAATATTGATAGGATATCCTTTTTTTTTCTTTTCTTCTCTCTTATTTACATTTAATACTCTAAAGCACTCACATGATAGAATACTGAGAATCTAAGTATATTTTATAAATATCCGTGGAGTCCTTGGGGTTCTCTGAGCTTGGTTGTTTCCTTGCAGACGTTTCGTTACCTGGCTAGGTAACAACTTCAATGCTAAAATGGGCTGGGGTTTGCTCTCTGTTTATATACCATAGCATGCCCTGTCAGTGTTGGAGGGGGAGTTGTTTTCTCCTTGTTTTAGTTCCTTGATTAGGGTATTCCTAATCAATCAACCTAATTCCTAATTCCTTAGGTTGAAAACACAGTTCAACCCTGAGCTACATATATTCTCTTCTGTTGGTATATAATATCATTGTATTGAAATAACATATTGCACTAAAACCGAGAAGATGGAGTAACAGATGTTCTATATGGCTAGATTTAATAATATGTTAAAGAATTAAGCTAGTTTTATATTAACATTTTATGGATATACTTTTTGTTTCTAGAAATGTCACTCATTTATTCATTATTCTATTTTTCTTTTCTGATTTTATTGGCACTGCTACATTTTTGGTTGTACTTCATATCGTCTGGTTGATATACTTACTGATATATATAAATATATGTATATATCACATATATATATATATATTATAACATATATATATATACACGGCACACACACATATACATATATAAAACATTTTTTTTTAAAAGGCAGCAAGAAAGAAAAGTAATTCAAGGGTGTCTGCCTTAAGGGTGGGTGTGCATATAGGTATGTATGTATGTATTTATTTATTTGATTTGTGTGACCGCCCATCTCATCCAAGCGACTTTGGGGAGCTCACAACAATTATGATAATTATGTAGTTAGAATATTTGAGAAACCATGAATTTTTGAATAACCTGAACTACTACTTTAAGTGGTAGACTCAGTTAAATCAAAACAGCCACTAACATTTCTGGAAGTAGCAGAAGACAGCAGAAAGAAGTGGAGGTAAATTAGCCTGGGCTGAATTATGACCTATGACATCATTTGTAGGGTGTGACCCTTCCAGCATCCATGGGTGGGCTTTTGGGTGTCAGCTGAAGAGCTCCGTTTCCAATTTTATAGTGGGGTTGAGTTTCTGGATGCCAGTGTACAATCTCCATCCTTTCTGCTTCCAAGGGGACTGCCCCTGCCCCTTCTGGGGTAGAACCAGCCCCGCCCCTTCTGCCATATACAGGAGTCACACCATAGAGTGGTTGATTAATTGATTGGTTTTATGGAAAGATCGAAAGGCTGCTTTTAAGGAAAGGCACCTTCCACCCCCAGTGATGAGAAAGCTTCAAGACAGTACAAGATCAGTAGGAACTGATGTGCAACCTTCCCCCCCCAAAAGTTGAAAATCCAATGAAGAAAAGTTCTGAAACCAGTAGGCAGATGCAGAGGAACAATCCATGCACTTGTTTAAGAACAAGGGATTGTTCAAGGACTTCCTGAAGGCAATTAACGAGGCATGTAATGCTTGGAGGGGACCAGTGACAAAGTTCAGCCCTCTTGGAGAAATAACGGACACCCTCATTACTGCACATTTTTGACAGAACACTGAACTCATTTCTGTTGCAAGTCCCATGTGTTTAATGGGCCACTCCTGGGCGAAATAGTTCTTCCTGCTACATTTTCCTAAATCGTTCTTGAAATTGAAATACGGTGTATTTCTGTCTCTCTCTCTCTCTTTTTTAATGTCTTCTTTTATAAAGAAAAAAAAGTATGAGCTGGCTTGTGAAGGACACTGGATGTGAAATGTCTTGACGAGATGTGTAAAAATACACTTTAAAAGTGTTTTGTATGTTGGTTAGTTTGGTAAGGTATCATTCTGTCCGTTTTTGATTTTCAGTATAATTCCAATAGTAAGAGAAGGGAGAAAAGTTTGATTCCTTTGCTGAAAGCTTATGAACAATTTTAGTATTTGATGGTGCAAAGGCTTTCTTTCTGTTTTAGGAAGCATGAAACCTTTCTGTTTTATTTCATTATTTTGATTTTGGGCTTTTCAAACAAACACTTGCGTCCCAGAGAATCTCCCATTGGTTAAAAATTCAATACAATGCCAGTGGCCAATATGATATATCAGTGAAAAATGTGACTCAGGCCCTCAGGCTTAAAACTTAAAAAAAAAAAATCAAGAGTCACAAGATAAGTGACAACACGTCCAGAAGTGCGTGTGTTTCTCTGTTGCGGCGGATACACAAAAAGCAGTTAGTCAAAGTTTTCCTAGCCTGAGAAAGTCTTCCCCAAACTCGAAGCCTCCAGATGTGCTGGACTAAAACTCCCATTAGCCCCAGCCACTGTGATGGAGATTATGGGGGTTGTAGATCAGCCTGGCCAGAGTCTGTTTCATCAGATGCTTTAACGGTTACCCATGGTTGGCAGATAGATATTGTGTGTGCATCCTTGTGTGTAGAGAGGAAAGTTAAGACCTTTGAGTGAAAGGTCATGACCTAAGAAATGGTGATTCAGTTGACGTTTTAAAGCAGTGTTGTCCAAACTTGGCCACTTTAAGATGAGTGGACTTCAACTTCCAGAATTCCCCAGCCAGC